ATTAGTTTTGATTAGTTCTAGGATGAAGATTACATCGAGAATTGATTGTTTAGTGTTTATAAACTATATTTTACAACTAATTTCATAAAAAAACAAACAATTTTTCAAAAATATTGGAAATTTCGAAATAAAAAAATTGAAAATCATTGATTTAATTTAGATGTTTTTGATCAATTGTGTTGTTTTCAAGAAAACTGTATATGCTATGATTTTTCAAACATTATTTTCAAAATAGTTTTTCAAAACTTTGTCCATTAGGATTTGATTTAGAGAATCTTGAAATATTACGGACTCAATTGAGTTTTGGGATTGATTATATTGCATACATGTGTTTCAAATTTGTAGGTTACATTCCTTATCCTGATTTCCTAAATCATGTCAAACCCTAAATGACCTAGGTCCTCTTCAAGTCGATCAAACCGCCCTCCTATTCCTCCTCCACCACAAATTCCAAACCCAAATGAACCCGAGTTAACCATTCTTAACTCTTACTTCAACCAACCCGGTCATCGTAGAGTTGAATTATATGATAGGTTCGTTAGTCATTTTCAATCCTACAAAATTCGAGAGGAACGTATCCCTTCCATTCAAGCAATGGAAGATATTAACTTTAAATATCTTCTTGTTCTTCGTTCTTGGAAATTTGATAAGTTGTGCCAAATTCAACCAGTGTCTATCAACAATTAGTTCGCATTTTTTATTCAAATGCGATTTGTGTTCAAAATGCTAGTCAAACGCAACCTTGGGCATACGATCCTATCTCTTAGGAGAAGTCATTTTTATCAATTCAAAAACAATTGTTGATGTTTTCGGTTTAGACGATGATGGGATAGATAATGAAAAAGATCTTCTGGCTACTCCCTATAAGTCTAATGATAGTGTTAGTACCTTACGAACTCATCACAATCGTTTCCTTCATTTGATGATCTCTTGGTGGTTTAGACCATCCGAAGGTAGGTACTCCAAACTTAGAGTCATAGATTTATGGTGGATATATTGTATCCAACATAATAAGAAGATAAATTTTCCACAAATTATATTTGGTGAGCTTGTCGATACCGTAAACGTCATTCCTTCCAAAAATATCGAAACTTTAGTTTACGAGTGTCTTCTTTCTAATTTATTTATCCGACTAAAGCTTAAGGTCTCGGTTGACATTCCCATGCCTCTCTAAAACCAAATCAACCTAACTTCCTTAAAGAAAGCCGGATGGAAACAAGATAAGGTAACGTGTCAATGGGAATATAGACTCACTAAGCAAACACCGTGAGCTAGTTCTTCACGAGCTCCTTCTGTACCTAGCTCTTCTCGTGGTCCTCCTCCACCGGCACCAGCTACGGACGATGATCCAGAGTTTCAACAGCTTATTCAAGATATTGACGATCACGTACCAGACGATGAGCCAACACCGGAACCAGCACAACAAGAGGAACAAATGTATCCATATTTTCAATCATTTATGGAGTCATTTGATCTGAGGTTTGCTTACATGGAATCTCAACTGACTGAGTTTCAACGGGAGATGCGTGAACGTATGGATGCTCTCACATTTGAAGTGCGAGCACATTATCCTCCTCCCAATCCTCCTATGGACGACTAAACCTTGCCTTACTTTTGCTTTCGTTGATTTAAAACTTATTGTTTTAACATTTTGAATGTTTGTGGATTGTTTATGTTGTTTGGATGTTTACATTTGAATGCTTGAACTTATATTTATATATTTGGTTTTTGAACTTATATTGGTTTATTAGATTTTTGCATCATTTAGCATATGACTAATTTTACCATTTCACATTCGTTTATTATGAATATTGAATTATGAAACTAATGGCTAACATTTCTCTTGATTGTGATATTAGCAGCTTACACTATATTTACAAAAATCAATTGGTTGTGTTTCAAAAAATATTCTTTAAAAACGTTTTATAGAGTATTTTTGATTTAACAAAAAGGGGGAGAAGTAAGATGTATTATAGTAAGGGGGAGTAATAAAATTGATTTCAAAAATAATTTTCATAGAAAAACTTAAATTTACTCAAATGTTTTGTTATATCAAAAAGGGGGAGATTGTTGAAAACATTTTGATGTTTTGATATAACAAAGTAAGTTAAATGAATTTTAAGATTTTATAAATGATTTTCTAAGTATATTCGATACAATTATTCGAATATCAAAATATTACTCCAAGTCTTTCAAAGTTTAATTTCAATCCATACTAAAGTGGAAAATTATGTTTTATACTTAAAATATTTTTGAAACAATTTTCACAAAGTATTTCGAACAAAAAACGAGCCAAAAATCAAATTTGTGAAGGGATGCACCGATGCACTCATTGATGCATCTATGCCACCCCATTTCGAATGCATTTTATGCATCGATGCACTGCCATGCATCATGCACTCAGGATTTTATAGAAACATCAAATGCATTTTATGCATCAATGCACAGACCATGCATCGATGCACTCCAGGCTTGTTTGGAACATCGAATGCATTTTATGCATCGATGCACCCTTAGTGCACCGATGCACCCTTAGTGCACTGATGCACTAAGTGTTTCAACGGTTGAAATATTTGAATTTTACACTTGATGCATCGATGCACCTTAACTATGCATCGATGCACACACGCTCCCAACTGATTTTATTAATTGTTTTCACACAATAACGACTCTATTAACTCCACTAATGATCCCCCAACATTCAGAAATGATCCAAGGAGTATTTAAACAAGCTTAGAAGCCATTGATCAATAACAAGAAACAACAATTATCAAGAATCAAGAGAGAATCAAAGAGAAAGCATCAAACCTCAAGTTTGAGCATTTTCAAGCCTATTTCATTCAATATTTATCTTTTGCTTTCAAGAACACTTATTGTACTCAATTGTATTATTCTTGATTGTTCTTTCTTTGTTCTAGAATTGTGCAAACATCTTTCCTTGTGAGGATTTTCTTGTAAGTTTGTAAAATTTGTATGGTTCTCTTTGGGAGAGAGTGTTATCAAGAATTTGGGGTATAATTCTTGAGGGTTTTGTAAGGTTACTCTTTGTCCTCAAAAGAAAGACAAATTAGTGAATTTGTGAAAATTCTTAGTGTGGATAGCTAAAGTAGTGGATGTAGACTTTGGTTGAGAAAGTCGAACCACTCTAAATCGGTGTGCAAATATTTTCATTTATCTGCAAAAACTTCCACCGAAATTTTATTGTCAATTCACTCCTCTCTTGTCCTATTCCGTCGATCGATTAACTCAATATTTTTTTACATTTTCTTTTTTTTTAAGTTTGTCTAATTTACATTTTATTTTCTTTTTTTTAATTCCATTAATTTTCATGTTAATTTGTGAATTACCATCTTATAATTGTTATTTCTTTAACTTTGTTATATTTTGTTTTATTCCTTTTACACTTTTATTTTATTAATTTAATTTCCTTTTATTTCATTATTTTTTATTTTGGTTTTTTTCCATGTTTTGATTCTTTTTCCTTTTTTTCCCATCAAATATTCTTTATTTTTATTATTTCCTTTTTTATTTTCTTAATATTTATGATAACTCGTTTATTTATTTTATTATGAGTTTTTGTATTTACTTATTTTATGTTACTTTTTAAATTTTCACTTTTTATTTATTTAATTTCAATATTGATTTATTATGTTATGTACGGTTTATATTTTTTATGTTGGTACCCATGATTCATTTACTTCAATTTTACAGATTAAAATGAGTCATATTATTTTTAAAATCCTAACTTCTTTTGTTTTACAGTTATAAATTCTCAAAAGTAAGTGACTTTAATATTCTCTTTAATTTGACCTCAAACTTTATTTTTAATATAATCACTTTTTTCTTCAAATTGTTCATAGTGTTTTTATTATTTTTAATTGTAATCTTAACATGTTAATTAAATCATTTCTTTCTTTAAACTTTTTAATAATATTCTATAAAACATGTTGTTTGATTGCATGACAAATATATTTAATTTCAAAGCATGATAGCCTTATCTGCATCACTGAACATTTTCAATAATGAATTAAATGCAATGCACATTTAATTTAAATTATCAAAGAGAGTTATCCTAATCCACCTACTTAGTTTAGTTCGGTAATTTAAAGTGAATTGCCATCCTCTAGTGAAACCAAAAAATAGTAACATTTTAAAATCGATTAGGAGGGTAGAAAGAGAAATGTTCTCATATTTAGATTTATCGAAAATGAACCTCTCGACCATATTCTCTATCTATCTTAAAGGCCCGATAATTTTGTTTGTTGCATAACTTTAGATAAATAAATACAATGATTATATTATTTTTCGTTTTCTTCCAAAATAAAAAATCGCCACTCTATCTTATATTATGTGGTATTTTTCTTTGATTTGAAACGTTTAAGTGTTAACAATTTAACTTAAATTTATGAAAATAAAATCGGTGATTATCACTTTTTTTTACAACCGGTTATTCACTTTAGTTGAAATAAGAGGGATGTTATTCTACTAATATGGATTTTCTCTTTAATTTTAATATGTTAAATAATATTGTATTTATTTAACTAAAAAGATATCACTAGTTAAACTAAAATTCGAATTCATAAATTTTATTTTAAAGACAATAATTTATCAACTAAATACTAAATTTCAGGCATCGTAAGAGTGCTAATATTTTCTCATATGTAATCGACTCTCAAATTTTTTTTTTTTTTGAAATGCTGCCTAAAAATTGTTTTAATAGTTTTTAAAATTAAATTTTATTAAAATGACAACATATTTTGGTTATCCAATCACACCCTAAATAAAGATAGACAACTCCTTCGAAACAATTTTTGTTTTAAAAACCAATTTTAGTAGAAACGAACCCCTTAAAATTAATTTCTCGATTTGTCAGGATGTTACGACAACTACTTATCAAAGTAAAAAAAATCAAAATCTAAAGAGATTGAAGTAGTCGAACTTGACAAAACTTATTAACCGTCCACCAAAACTTAAATATAAACTAAGCACACAAGAAGTGAACTTACTTGAATTTAAAGTTGGCATTGCCGTCCTTGAGCGATGTTTTACTGATAGAAAGGGTAAAGAAAATGATATAACCGAGAAGCTTGGAGTTGGATTCTCCCGCCTCACCTTTGGTACCGTGGTGTTATGTTCTCTGCATCCACTTAAGACCTGTCTGTTTCTGTATTATCGTTTCGTTAAATGAAGAAAACAACAAGGCTATGTTTCGCCAAAAACTGCAAGATTCAGAGTTGACAAGAGCTGAAAAACTTCAAGTGATGAAAAGTAAGCAGAAAGAAGCTTATGTTATCCTCATTTTTCGAACAACAACCGATTTTCTTCATTCGGATGACTTATGACGACCGCTTCATGGAAGCTAAAGGGAACTAAGAACCCAATTCTGCAAATCGTTCCCTAACTGAATAGGCAAGTTTAAACTCATTGACATTAACTAAGCCCTCTACAACCTTTTGCCTGACCCTAATGTAGGGTATAAAGCCCCTCTCGGTCATTGCAGCAACTACCTTTCCGGCCAAAACATATTCGCAACATGCCAAGCATCCTTCAACAACGAACTCATAGCTCTCAAAGCCAACAGAGATGCCCTTTCTCTCCAAGAATTCAATCAACTCGACAGCTTTCCATATCTCTCTATTTGCCCGCAATGTCCCCATGACCTTCATCACCGTTGCCTGCCTTGGAGTCAATCTAGCTTTCTGCACCATTTGCTTCATTAATTCCACTGCATCACTAGTCCTTCTAACTGTGCACATTGCAGTAATTAAACCGGAAAAACTCTCCAGATCAGGAAGGCAGCCTGCTCCATTCATTCCCTTCAATATTTGAGCTGCCTCCTCCAACTGATCAACAGCACAAAGAGAAGATATAAGGTAATTGCATGTCACGGTGTCGGGGCAAAACCCAATGTCTTGCATCTTCATAAGGCTATCGGAAACAGACTGCAATCGGCCACGGCAATCGAGCCATGCAGAAGAAAGGAGGAGTTTTATCTGGGGATCAGGGAGACATCCAGAACGAAGAGTGCATTGGAGGATGGCAAAAGAAAGAGGGAGGGGGTGGGAACTCTGAAGGGTATAGGAAAGAAGGAGATCATAAACAACACGGGGGCGGGACCGAGGTCGAACAGATTTAGAAGATTGTAATATTTCATCAATAATCTCGGTTCTAAGCCTCAAAGATAAGGTGGAAAGAAATGAGAAAGGATTCGGAATCCGTCTCATTTTTCCTTCGGCAGCGAGGATGTCAGGCAGTAGTTCATAGGTTTTGGCATCGACGGCAGATTTTACTGTTTCTTCCACAGAGTTCAAGGAAGAGATTGAGTGAATCAAGACAGACTGGGAAAGACAGGGATAAAGATTGAAGAGAGATTTGCAGAGCGTTGTTGGTCTAACAGCCATTTCCAGACTTACAAATTATCAATTCGCATAAATGAGCAACCTGGAAGACAATTATTCATTCAGAAACAGTGCAACAGAACAAGAAAATGGAACAGTTAAATAAATTCAAGCTTCATTTGCAGTCCCCAAGGGTCGGTGGTGTCACGGCCGCGCTTGCCGTGATCTTAAACCGGCGGCGGCGGCGGTAAGAAAGGAACAGAGGCACGGCAGCAGCCGAAACGACTCCCAAACGACCGGAGGAGACGACTCCGACGGCGCATCGGCCAACCCGATCTTCTCCTCGCAAGCACCGTACACGCAGCAAGGTTGGTTTCACCTTAAAACAACCCCCGACGATAGCAGCGGTGACGGGGCTGCAACGGGAACCCAAGTGATGAACGGAGAGCTTACCTTTAAGGCGAACGGCGGCTAGAACGGGTGAGCGGCGGCGTACGGGTGAAGGGGAGATGGCTGCTGTTAGGGTTTTTCAAAACAAAGAAGAAGAGGCGCCGCACAGATATAAAAATCGGGGGAAGAGTTTTGTGTTAAAAACAATTAGTACAATTTCTACGTAAGCCATTGAAATTACTAGAGTTTTAGAAATAAGAGTAAAATATTTATAAATGTACAATTTAGTTACTATTTCCAATTTAAGAATTAAGTCAAAATTTCTCAAATTTTAAGGTTTTAATTTAGGGATTTTTCGGTGTGTTACAAGATTAAAGAGGAAGATGAATATGACAATTGAAATAGAACCTGTTTGATGAAATTGAAAACAGAATATGCAATTGACATTAGGGGATAGGCAAGGCTGTTTAACCGTTGAGTCGTTCGGGTCAATTTGAGTTGTGTTTTTAGACACAAAAGTTCCACCCTACCACTTCATTCCATATAACCGGACATCTCTTGGCATGCACATGTGCATGCCTTCTTAAAGGGTTTTTTAGGTTGGACTTGGACAGGAGACCAGAGACATTTTATTGTCACCCTATTCAAAAAAATATTAATTGATTATTTAATTAATTGATTTTATAAAATAAATTTACAATGATAAATTAATTTTAAATATTTATATATTATATTTAATATAATTATATTTTTTTAAAAAAATTAATAATATTGTTTTACTGCGAGTATAAATTGTGCATATTTAATTGTCTAAACAGATTTTAAGCGATATTTTAGACTTGCTTAAATTATTTGAATTAATCTGATACTTGAATAATACTAAACCTTTGGTTAAATGGGATGTGATAGAAGGATTAGTGGTATCTCACCAAAAAAATTTAATCGGATAAATATATTTATCAATATGAATATAATAGTAAGAAAGAAACAATAATATAATATAATTTTATTAGCTCTCTTAATCATCGATGTAAATTATTTTTTATAATTTATTAGAAGAAATAGAGATAATTTTCATATCATTTGTATCATCCATCGTGTGAGAATACAAATTATTTTTTTTTTAAAAAATCTTATTCTCTTTTTATTTCGTTGTCCTTCTCTTTATATTTTTTCACTTACCTAAATCTTAATGCTTTCAATGCTTCACATAATTTTAAGTTCTCGCGAGTTGTTTTACAAATTTATTTGGACAACCGACTCGAATTATATTGCCTAATGTCACACTAATAGCTATGAGAAATTCTAACTCATAATAAATACTTTCAAAATAATTATTTAATTATATCGAACATTTCAATAAGCAGGCTAGATAGAGTGAACCATAATGAGAATGTCATGAGTTTAAATAGATAAAAATGCCACATCTTAAATAAAAATGATATCGTCAACCATATGTGTAAAAAATATAAGATTTAAAAAATTAAAAATAATGGTCTACGCATCATAGTAATATCGAAAACAAATTCCGCAAACAAATTCTGCATTTTTCTTTCTATAATATAAATAATTTTGTATATATCATTGCACTTTCAAGGTGTAAATTATCCTTTTAATTATATTTTGATCTGTATTAGCATTAAAATCTTAATTTTATACTACAATTTTGTATATATGATATTAATGATAATATTTAAAAATAGAAGTATTTATTATAAAAATTTATATTTTAATCAACATATTAAAATTATATAATATTTAAGTTTAATATTCTTGAATTAAGATGAGTTTGGATAATAAAAAAATTTCGCTTGTGTAAAACTTAATCTATCTCATAATAGTTTCATAAATTTTCGTAACAAACAAATTTTTACCATAAATTATACCATACACACACATCAATAAATGTTGAGCTCGTACCACATATGATGCCAAGAGGGGAGTGAATTGGTCTTTTAAAAAAATTGGTGGAAACAATCGAAAAATAGAACTTTTTACACAACGATTTAGAGTGGTGTAACCTTAGCATCTACACTAAGGATTTCTCAAATCTACTAGATTTGCTTACCTTTAAGGATAAGGTGTAACCTTACAATCACTTCAAGATTTATACCCCAAAACCTTGAATACACTCTCTCCCAAAGAGTAATTACAAATTCAACAAACTAAATAAAAACCTCATAAAGTTAAATAAGTTTGCACTAATTAAGTTCTCACCCAAATTACACTTGAGCAAAATAAACAATGTAGCGCACAAGTGTGTTTACAACAAAGAATTTACAAATTAAGCTTTTATGTTAGTAGATTGATTCAATATGATTCTTGATGACCTTGGAAGCTTTGACATTCAATTTATACATTCTCCGTTAATTCTAGCGGTTTGTAGCATTGGAGATCATTATAGCCGTTATGTAACACCCCCAACCCATACCCGACCCGGATACGAGTCCGAAGATTCACATTAACTTTTCAAAACATTTACTTTATCCCAAAAGAACTAACTTTCCTACCTTTTATTAAAAACAAAAGACATAATTTATACAATTTAGGTGAAAAAGTTTACAAAACTTATCAAAGAGGATACAATTCAAATCTTTAATTACATGCCAACTACATTCTCTATATCTTAATACATATTATTCATTTATCTTCTGATCTGATATTTGGTAAGAAGAAACTGACCTGTCTTGCTCCTCTTCGATCCATAAGCTTGTCAAAACCTACGTGTGAAACACTCACACGCTAAGTCGATGACTCAGTGAGGCATATAAACATATAATGGAAACTCTAACTCATAACAATGCATGAACACTTAATATGCTTATATCATGCACAAACATATAATTTTTCATATAAAAATACACACATGCATATGTATATCATCATATATGGTTCTGTAACATATTTCATATATTAACTTAATGCAAATATCATATAACCATTCATATGACAATTATATTCATACATAACATATATCACATATACCACTTCACACAAATCACAACGCATTATCATATCAAGTTTATTTATATTATCTTTTGGTTGCCCATGTACATTACTGAGAACTTAAGGTATGTGAGTACATAGAGGTTGTGCATTATATTGTCACCACAGCTCGTATAATTCCCATTAGGGGCGCATATAATTTGTCTCGAAGGACCACTATGTCCCAAAGGACCACATATAACACATATCACATATGTCCCGAAGGACCACGTAGAACCCTCGACTCTTGGCATGCCAACTATACCCTAGCTCTCATAACACATAACATGGGCATTGTCACTTATGTCATTCGCATATACACATTAATATCACATATCATGTAATACTCTCATAGAGTCTCATATCACATGTTCACATGTCACATAGGCACATTCACATAGTTCATATCACTTTTCATATGATCTCATATTCATGTGTCACATAGCTCAATACACTTCTCATGTGTTCATATCAACATGTATGTCTTATCTTGTTCACATATATTACATAGTTTATATTTTGTTCTCTTATGCTTACCTAGATCATATATGTCATGTTTCATTGAGTTCCTAACCTTCCTTGAGTAATCCCTTATATCGTATCATATAGCTTACCCTTGAGTTATCTTATGTTCACCTATATATTATATAATTCTTATAACTTATGTCACATGTTCATATCATTCATTATTTTATCTCTTATTTTGTATTCTTATATAATCACATAGATCATTTATACTATTTCACCTGGCTTATCCCACTAATATATGTATATATAAATCATGTAATATACGACAACATGACAACACATATACTATATTCACATATTTCAATATCCTTGTACTTATTTCACTTTATTACATTAAAACATAGACATGTCATCTTATGTGCCCTATTAATACTATTTGTTCATATAATTTTATTTTACCTTATAAATAAATACTACTTATTTTATCTCACTTTCTGATTTCATCACCTATTTATTTATATCAGTTCACATGTGTTGAAAATATTTTGATATTTCGATATAACAAATTAAGTTAAATGAATTTTAATATTTTCCAAAAGATTTTCTAAGTATATTCGATATAATTATTCGAATATCAAAATATTACTCCAAATCTTTTAAATGTCATTTTTAATCCTTACTCAAGTGTAAAATTAAGTTTTAAACTTAAAATAATTTCAAAATAATTTTATAAAATATTTCAAACCATTTCAAAGTCAAAGATTCTGATTTCTCAGAGGGAACTGATTCCCCCCCCAAAGGGGTACCGATTCCCCCCGGAATGGTTTGGCTCCGAGAAAAACAAAATGCTCAGCGGGAACCGATTCCCCCCCAAGGGGGTACTGATTCCCCCTGATCAACAGTCGAAATATTTGAATTTTACACTTAGGGAACCGATTCCCTATGAGGGGGTATCGATTCCCTCCACGCTCCAAGCTGTTTTATTAATTGATTTCACACTAAAACAACTCCATTGACTCCACTAATCATCCCCAACGTTCAGAATCAATTGAAGGAGTATTTAAACAAGCTTAGAAGCCATTGATCAACAATAAGAAACAAAAATCAACAAGAATCAAGAGAGAATCAAAGAGAAAACATCAAACCTCAAGTTTGAGCATTTCAAGCCTATTTTTCATTTAATATTCATTTTGCTTTCAAGAACACTACTTGTACTCAATTGTATTCATTTTTGAGTGTTCTTTCTTTTTTCTAGAATTGTGCAAACAATCTACCTTGTGAGGATTTCCTTGTAAGTTTGCAAATTTGTAATATTCTCTTTAAGAAAGAGTGTTTTCAAGAATTGGGGTATATTCTTGAGGGAGTTGTAAGGTTATCTCTTTGGCCTCAAAAGAAAGAACAAATTAGTGAATTTGGTGGAAAATCCTTAGTGTGGATAGCTAAGGTAGTGGACGTAGACTTTGATTGAGAAAGTCAAACCACTCTAAATCGTTGTGCAATTACTTTCAGTTTTCAGTAAAAGCTTCCACAAAAATTTTAATTGCCAATTCACCCCCCGCTTGGCCGATTCTGTCAATCAATTAACTCAACAATTGGCATCAGAGCCTAACTCATTTGAAGGTTTAATCGCCTATTGAGTAGATTCAGGAAGAGTTACAACGATAATCAAAGTCATCAATTGCCTCCGCTTCAAACGTCGA